ATTATTATTATTATTCTTTTCTTATTTATTCTTTTTGATATTATTCTTTTTTATTGTGTTAAAATATTTATTATTATTTATTGTATATGTTTATTATTTCTTATATCTTCTATTTTATCATATTTATTTATTATCTTTTATATCTTTATTATTATTTTATTATTTTTATTATTCTTATATTCTATATTTTATCTTATGATTTTCTATTATTAAATATAAATTAAATGAATTTGATATTATAGATAAATAAATATCAATTTTATTAATCTAATTGTATTTATATAATATAAATATCAATAAAATTAAATTATAAGTTAAATTAAATGAAATATGAATATGAATAATATTAATATGAAATGAAATAATTAAATAATAAGAATATATTTAAAATATAAATATCAAATACATGAATAAAATAAATAATATAAATAATAAAATATAAATCAAAATAAATAAATAAAATAATGAATAATAATCAAATATTAAAACATGAATATGTATTTAATCAAATACATAAACATATATTAATTACATATTTTAATAAATTTAATGAAAATTGATTTTAATATATATCATAAATGTATATTAATAATAATATATTCTTATATTAAATTATTGATTTATTTGTTAATGACAATTCTTTTATTGTTAGAATACCAGATATATATTATCAAAATATCAAAGATAAAAATGATATATTAATGATGTTGATATATGTCAAAATAGAAATAATGAATTAAATTATATTTACAAAATAAATAAATACAAAGAATTACAAGAGAAGTTAATACAAAATAGAGAATTAATTTATATAGAAATAATACATGTAATATTATCAATAAATTAATACATAAAGAAACAGTAAGAAGATTAAAATCACTAAAATTACAAATCAACTTCAACAAAATAATACGAACAATCATTATTAAAAACATGAAATATTTAATGTTCTACATATTTAACACTGGCAACACATTAGAAGATGAACATTCTAATTCTCATATGTTAGAAATAAACTTTATTATAGAAATAGAACATATTAAAATCACTAAAATAATCACTTCTCAATATTCATAATATCAAATTGTGATATATCTATTATTTGATATTTTTATTACAAATTTCTGTATTTCTTATTTATCTTTATTTATTCTATCATATTTGTCATTTCTTTATATTTATAATTTAATTTCATAATCTATTCATTTATATTTTCATTCATAAATGAATAAACATGAAATTGAAATGAAATATAATAAAGATGATTTAAAAAAGAGAGAATAATATAAATTGAATAAATATTTCATTTTAATGATTCAATATTCAAAATTGTATTCAATGAATAAATATGATATTATTATATTCTTGTTTTGATAATGAATTTATTGTATTTTTATTGTTTCATACATGATTTATTATAGAATTTATTCAAATATTAAATCATGAAATGTTATTATATTGATTTATATTTTATATTAATTAATTATGATATCAAGAATAATGTAAATGATGTTCAGAATGAAATAAATAAATGAAATAATGTATTTAAATAATGAAAAATATGAATATTTTATTGTTATCATTGTATTTAGTTAATATAAACATATTATTTTATTAATTTATAAAAATACAAGAATTCATAAGTTTATTAACAAGAGAAATGATGAATATCATTGAAGAATCAAAATAAATTTAATTAGATTCTTTTATTCTAATTTATTTTCATCATAAATAATTATATTATTTGATTTAAAATTATAATTGAATGTTATTAATAACAATGTTAATGTGAATCAATGTTTATTTAATAAGATAATAAGATTAATAAGATTAATAATGTTATTCTATTTTCTATTTTATTTTCATTTATTTTATTATTCATTTAAATATATGTTATTTCTAAATGTATTTCATTTATCTTTATTATCATTTATCTTCAATATGTAATTCTATCATTTTAACATATTATTGATATTCTTAAATTTCATTTTTTATTCAACATAAACAAAGTATAAAAATATCAATTGAAT